GGGCCTTTATGGCCTGTGGGACCCCAGAGGCAGCTGACGGGTATCGACTGGCTAAGCGGAACGCAGCATCGGTGGTCACCGAGGCAAAAACCCGGGCGTGGGAAGAGTTCGGTGAGGCCATGGAAGCCGACTTCCGGACGGCTTCGAGGAAATTCTGGTCCACCATCCGACGTCTCAGGAGGGGGAAGCAGTGCACCACTAACACTGTGTACAGTGGGGATGGGACGCTGCTGACTTCGACTCGGGACGGTGTGAACCGGTGGGCAGAGTACTTCGAAGACCTCCTGAACTCCACCAGCACGCCTTCCTTGGAGGAGGCAGGGAGGAGATCTTGCCCCAAGTGGAGGAGTTTAAGTATCTTGGGGTCTTGTTTACGAGTGAGGGCAGGAGGGAGCGAGATATCGACAGGCGGATCGGTGCAACATCTGCCGTGATGCGGACCTTGTATCAGTCTGACGTGGTAAAGAAGGAGCTGAGGCAAAGGGCGAAGCTCTCAATTTACCGGTCGATCTACGTCCCAACCCTTAATTTAGCTATGAGTATGTGATAATTAGAAGACTTCTGTTTGAAGTGTATCTTCTGGTAAGAAGGGCCCACCCAAAAAAAAACTTAAAAAAAAAAATAAAAAAAAAGATGACGTGCTAAAGAGTAAAATTGACTTAACATATTGACAGGCCTAAATTTTGGATTCATTAAATTTCTATTTGGGTCCAAGGGCCATTGATAGCTTATCAGAGGGCCCTCAATCACTAAATTCAAGCCACAGTACACTTCACAACAGTGAGGCATGGCGGTGCAACCGTAACGGTATCAGGATGTTTCTTTAACCCCCTGAGGAGATGGGCCTATTTACCACATAGCAGGAATTCTAGGTCAGTTTGCAGATACGGTGGAACCTTGATTAAACCAACAAACTTGGGTCCCATTACAGCCGACTGACTGTTAAATCTAAGTACTTTTTTTCGTGGATTCATAATACCCAATAGAGTCAAAAATTATTGCAATTAAATATAAAACTCTTGGAACCATTTTGGAAAGATTTTAGGGCCGCCAAACACTGACCGATGTGGTTGAATCTGACTGAACTCTCGTGCAGAGTGTGGAGTTTGGCAACTTTTTTTATAAGTGGCCGATCACCGGGGCACTGGTTTTGTGGAGATTCAAAATTTGAATGACAATATCGTAAATTTCAGCCAATTACATTGCACATAAAATTGGACACGCTAAAAATACATTTGTGTGTTTTATGCGACCAAAAGCTTGTGGTAAAAATGTACACGAGCGGCATGTACCACTCTGGGTACAATTACCGGTAAGTGAATGTGAGCGAGCCCCACCTTTTAATATAGCCACACAATTAGCCACACTTGAATCTTTATTCTAACCCACATTCTCTTTGTTAAGCAACCGGCGTCTTTCTTGACTGACACTCAATCTTTTTATGGATTAAAAAAAAAAAGCGGTACAGTTCAAAATATTGTATAGGGAGCCTCAGAACCCATAAGAAATTTCTCAGTGTGCGAACTTAGTGGCCAACTGTCAATTTTTTGCGATGCGGTCTAAGTCTGGTTCGGAAGCATAGCGCAGTGTGCGGCAGATCTTAGACTGTGGTCAAATAGGTGAGCGAGTACGCCTGGCGGCACAAATGACGCAATTGCTGCGACGTGAGTGGGAATGAGATCGCAAATTTGCCAGGAAGAGCTCGAAGAAGTGGCTGGGGAGAGGGAAGTCTGGGCTTCCCTCCTAAAGCTGCTGCCCCGCGACCCGACCCCGGATAAGCGGTGGAAAATGGATGGATGGATGGATGGATGGATGGATGGATGGATAAAATTGTAGTTCACTTGGCTGCGTTCGGCTGAGAACATTTAATATTGAGGCACTTGCTAATGCACAGACACATTGTGAATCAAGTCAATTTGTGGAGGAACCGAAACATTCCAAATTCAAATTAAACTGCACCAATCAACTCACCACCAGAGGGGGCTGGAAGTGCACCAAAGGAACATAACCTGAGTTATTTGTGAAAAGTTCCAGAAGGAACAAGAGCAAGATGCAGTATTGTCATTCAACGTGAATCAGGTTTGGATGTTCGATCAACAAAACATTTCTGTGCACTTCAATCTTGGGAACACCCTGAGGCTGGTACACACCATAGACCAGATATCCTCTTCACAGAAAAGCAATCTGGTATATGCGCTCAAGTGCAGTGTAACCACCCAACGACTGCCGTTGACAGACAGAGGCCTCTCTGCAAAGGCATCTGAACAACCATGATGACATCATTCATGGTTGGGGCGTGGCTCCAACTTGAGGCGTAAATAGTTGAGTTTTCAACACCAACTTGGCTTTATGTTGCTTATCTTCTGACAATTGGGGGGTTCAAGTAAAAAGAAAAAACTTACCTTGCCAACAGTTTCACCTGTCACTCCAGCCTTTGTCAGAGCTGTCGCTGTCACCACTTGTCACGTGTCTACAGAGAGCTGATCAACAAGTCTCCATGAAAATATTATGAAATGCAGAAACTTTTGCGAGGGATATTATTTTGAGGAAGGACCATAAAAGAAAATAAGCTTGAGACTTGTTTCCTTTAAAAAATCCGGGGGGAAAACGGAACCGACAAGCAAAATCGCCGGGAGGTACATGCAAGCCATGGCAAAGGGACAGAATATCGATCATATTACAAAAATGGGAATTCTTGTAAAAGACACGTCTTGTGTTTTATTATGAGGCAAATATCTTGCAGGTAAGGCGTAGAAAAAAAAGTAGTGTGTTTCCGGTAACCCGACCGAGAATTTCTACGTCGAAAAAAAACTTTACGGTCGGCATTTTTTTTTCAAACAACCCTCTACATTTTTGTGTAGAGGGTTTACATCGGTGCAAACTCTCGCGATATTCACGTTGAGCGCGTGTGTCGTTTGCCCTGTCGTCTGTCAACAACATTGACGGGGGGAAAACTAAATAGGCGGCGGCGGCCACGGAGCGGCGGGTTCAATGTCTTCCTGTTTTATGTTTTATGGTTATTTTGTTTAAATTTTTGATGGGAAAAAAAAAATTGTAAAAAAAAAAAAACTTTGTCCGACCTACCGACCCTATGCTGAAATTTCTTGGTACCGGAAACACATCTTTTTTGTTTGGCCTAAGGCAAAGCTAGAGACTTCGGTTGGCAGCACTTGCCGTCGTGCAATGACATCAGATGTCCTTTTCTACGTTCGAAAGGAAGTACCGTTTTCATTTGTCTTTGACCTGATGACATATTCCAAAAATGGTGAACCAAAGGTGGCGTGAAGGTGAGGAGATTTGTCTTTCCGACAAAGCCCTTCGACTCAAGTGGCTTCTACTCTCAGTCAAGTGTGAAGAAGAGTCCGGAGTTTTGTGGGGTGATGGTTTTTATTTTGGGAGGCACCGCTTCTCAAACGACTGTGTGTCTTTGAAGTATGTGTCAGAAGCCAAAGCTATTAGCTCACGCTAATCTGTGCATCCAACAAAACTCTTTGCTTACCACATGGCTTTGACATGCTACCAAATACATCATAGCCACTGGGCGTGTTGTGTTATGTTATTGATCGTGTTTCAGACCGAACCATATCTTCAAAGTCTCTCTCTCTCTCTCTCTCTCTCTCTCTCTCTCTCTCTCTCTCTCTCTCTCTCTCTCTCGATAGATAGATAGATAGATAGATAGATAGATAGATAGATAGATATAGAGTACTGTATTTTAAAAGTGAATTCAACAAAATGTCAGTATAATAAGCCTCTGAATGTATTCTTTTAAATAATTTTGTTATAATACTCACCATTAATGTGAATGGTTTTCCGTTCCCCACGATTGCTAAAGATCCAGAAAAGGTAGCGGAATTATCGTCAGCTTGCCGGGTCCACATGCGGAGTTGCTGCAGGCTCGCTTGCACGCTTCCTTTCTGGAGTCTCCCGCAGGGTATTTTGATGTGAACGTAGCATGGCGCATGTCAAAGTGCCGCTTTATATTCGACCGTTTCATCGATGGTATTTTGTCATTGCAAATCAGACGCACCGCAGAACCTGTTCTTTCCACAAAGGCGAATCCTTTGGTCCATTCGTCCTGAAGTGTACCTTACTCGTCATCTTTTTTTCTTTTCGCCATCTTATTCATCGAAGGATTAGCTCTGAGCTAATGACTGAGCGGGCTGATTTACCCAGCAACAGCCAATGTAGGCCAGTACCATCCAATGAAAATTGCTCCTGCCGCCAACTACAGCTCTGAACAGGACGTGAGCAGTGAAGAATCGATGGATGCATTAAACCAGCGAGAATATTTTGTATTATCTGCGAGCCAGATGCAATCATTAAAAGATGTACACCTGGCTCGCGAGCCATAGGTTCCCGACTCCTGCATTAAAGTGTAGTGTCACATTTTCAGTTTGCAGTTCAAGAAGAAAAGAGACAAAAGAATGAGCGACTCCACCAGCATCAGAAACATGAAAACCAGATGCGAGACTTACAGCTGCAGTGTGATGCCAACATCCGAGAGCTACAGCAGTTGCAAGTACGGATTGTACATGTTTTGATTTTTTCCTTGTGCAAATATTGACACAATTATACATTGACGCCTTCTGTGTTCACAGAACGAGAAGTGTCATCTGCTGATCGAACACGAGACGCAGAAGCTGAAGGAGCTGGATGAGGAGCATATCGTGGAGCTGAAAGAATGGAGAGAGAAGCTACGGCCCAGAAAGAAGGTGACGCTTGCCCCTGGTGATCATTTGACTTAAAAAAAAAAAAAAACAAGTCAGATGTCAAAGCTTCAGATTTTCTAACATTGCAAAGTGCATCCTGAAAGTATTCAGAGCACCTCAATTTTCCCACATTATGACACCACCAACCCAAAATGGAATGCATTTTCTTCATAAAAGTTCCACACGGCACCCAGTAATGGATAATATGGAATACGGATTTTAATTTTTGTTTTTTACTAAAAAAATAGTTGAGCAGTTTCGATGGGAGACAATGTTGAGGAAGGTGATGATGAACTTTTTCCATTCATAATCAGACATAACCAAATAATCAGCCTCCATAATTTGGATGAAGGCTGCTTTGGTTTTATTAGATTTTCAAGAAAAATTTTGATTTTTCCGTATCCTTTTCCAGATATATGCCTCAAGACAGTTCTGTCTTGGAGGTCTATAAACTTTACCATTGACTTCATGCTTGGCCTGTGCTTGGGGGGCAGGGGAGGTCTCTCTTTTATTAGCAGAGGGTATGAACAAGTGTTTCCACATTTGTATGTACATCTAAGTTTTTCAAATTTTAAAACCATTTTAGTCCCATTATCATCGTGGGGTGTAGTGCATAGAATTGTGGGAAGTGTGAGGAAAAATAAAGCGCTGTGAATACTTTCTGGATGCCCTGAATGCTACATGTAATGCATTCAAGTCGGGAAATTGGAAATACAGTCAAACCTCGGTTTTCGTCCATAATCCGTTCCAGAAGGCTGTTCGAAAACCGAAACCACGCTCTTTTTAAAATAAAAATGTTGACTGAACACGTCTGCTCACAATGGAAAGCAACACGAGGAAGCTTCACTTCCATGTCTACCCGAGGAAGCGTCACTTACTCGTGTAAGGAAGGCGAGAGGAGTCAAGTGGCGCATTCAAGTGCGCTCAGTTTGTTCGAGAACCGAAATTTGTTCATCATTCGAGGCATAAAAAACTCGAAATTTTTGGTCGAAAACCGAATTGGTCGAAAACCGAGACGTTCGAAAACCGAGGTTTGACTGTACCACACATGGAGGTAATGATAGAGTAGGTAGAGACAAACTATGAATCCTGCGAGTGAAATTAAGTCGCTAGATATATTCAATATATATGCAATATTCAGACGTATACACTAACATTAATACCCGTTCAACAAGTAACAAAGAACAAACAAAATCCAAAGAACAGCAAGGAGGAGAAGTTAAAAAATGAAAATCCAAAGAAATGTTGACACTCCGGTTATAAATTTCAGCCTTGTTAGACTCCAGTAATATTTATACAGTGAGTGTGAAATTGAGAAATATGAATTTCATCGTGATATACCGGTACATCGATATTATAATGAATTATAAGATGCCGCCACCCAAAATGTAGACCTTATGCAACATCTATTGACATGCACAAGAATGACTGTACGTTGTTGTTTTTCCTCTTGCGGCCCACAGGCCCTGGAAGAAGAGTTTGCCAGGAAGTTGCAGGAACAGGAAATGTTTTTTAAGATGAGCGGAGAGTCTGAGTGCCTTAACCCCTCCGCACAGAGTCGCATTTCCAAGTTCTACCCAATCCCCAGCGTCCAGTCCACTGGATTCTAGGCCAACCCGCCGCTGTCCACACAGCAGATGGACTGATGCAGCTGGGCCTGTACCTTCCTCTCCTACATGGGCCACCGGCAGAGGATGGACCAAGTTTTTCCTCTCAGAACACCACTCTTTTCCTGCAGCTATTTATATCGCATTTTATTTCCCCATCTGCCAACTCAGAGTCATTCAGGCGCAGTAACTTATTGTCTGACATTCTTGGGTTGAAATTATTTTCACAAACAGTCCAGGGCCTGTAAAATTGGAATTTGGAGGCGTTATGGTATGTTGTGCTGCTCCTTTTTTTTTTTTTTTTTCTGGTTTCGACTTTTGCACTAACACACTTATACAATTTGGAAATCTCTCAGATTCTTGCAACATTAATTGGTAAAAATTTGGAAAAATCATCAGATTTCTTTTTGTCTCGAATCAATGTTGATACACTAAATTCTATTACATACTGTATCCCTATTTTAAAATCTTATCTGGGGTATCTAGTTCTACCAATTGAGCGCTTTGCTCAAAATGCCCCCCCCCCCCCGAGAATGCCTTCCCGTCTCAAGGTACGAGAATTGAGCAGTAAATGGGTGGTGCCATTCTTTTTAGTTATGCAAGACAGTGGAGGGAGACATTCTTCTTCTTCAGCTCGTGTCCAATAAATGATGGCACTACTGTATTTTAGCAATAAACCAGCATTTATTCACCAGTAAGTCAGTCAGCATTTTCCCATTATTCAGTTATGGCTAAAAATGATCATTATTCAGGGACAAAGACAAAATACATCAATTTATTATATGTACATGTTCAGCCGCAACAGCATTCGCCCATGAGTTGAATTAGTTTGTCAAAGAATCAGTCTCCAAATAAAACATTTCATTATCAGGTGTTAGTGAATCACCGTGATGCTTTCGAAAAGCTTGTATGAGCTACAATGCATCTGCTTCGACTTTGGATTTTTTTTTTTGGGGGGGGTGATATGCATCCTGAATGCATAAATTGTCTCTGGATAAAAAAAAAAACAACAACAACAAAAGCTGAGCTCTTTTCATGTTTGTTTGCTTTTTGGTAACTATGCTATGATATTCATATCGAATGAAGTTCAAGGAAAATGTGGGCCTGACTGGTTTAGGCTTTCTTGATTTATCAGCTCATTTCTTATCTTTCTATGAAGTGTTACTGAAGGTATTTAATAGTAAGGCACAAAAATAAAAGTGGAGTGCTGTGCACCTTTTTACAAGATTACAACTCAGTAGTGTTGCTATTCAATAAATCCTGCCACATGCTTATTTCGCTCATTTTACTCCTGCTGAGCATTTCAGAACAACTTAAAACTGTCATTGTGAAATCAATTCTTGAGTCGGTAAATTCATTTTGTTGTAATGTCAATTTAATTATTCCTATCAAAATAATTCATTTAAAAATAGTTCAGTTTTCATTTGGCCTAAATCATGTAGATTTCCCTTTTTCTGTAAATAAAGTTTCCTGTGGAATACAGCTCTGCTTAGTCTTGCTTTGATTTTGTTCCTAAAAAGAACGATAATATAGTTTCACCTACTACTGTATATGTGAAAGTCAATAACCTCATAGTGTGTGTGTGTGTGTGTGTGTGTGTGTGTGTGAAACCCGTACGTAAACCCCAGCTTTGTAAAGTTGGTCCACTAAATTAGTCAAAAGCTACATTTAATTGCACATAAGTACAACATATATACACACTCTGAAAATGATAACAGCAGTTTGTTTCATTGCATCGCTGTGTCTAAATTGACACGTAAAGTCACATTAAAAAGCTTGGGCTATTGGTTTGAAAGTCATTCGGTACAATTCCTACAGCAAAGCGGATACAGTCATGGAAAAAAAAGAATGTAGCATACATTTGCTGTGGCAAAACAAACAAACGTACATGAAAACAATGGTGCACTTTCATCCCCATAGTCATGTGACTCAGACCACAACATGCCTCTTTGCTCTCCTTGAAATCACTGAGAAGTCGCCTGAAAAAGCAAGACTTTTTATAGTCAGATCAAGTTTGCAGTCGGATGTGAAAATGTCTTCACTTTGAATCAATAAAGCCAAAAATATGAGAAAGAGCACATTGATCATCAGCGTCCTCTTATACTGCAACTGTGCTGTGTACATTTCACGAAATTAAATGTTTTCATTTTTAAAAAATAAGTACTGAAATTGATGATGAATTGAGAGTAAGAACAAAGTCAGATGCAACCACGGTATATCGACACTTAAATGTTGGAGTTGTATGTTGTCCAGTATGTAGCGCATTATTATTGGTGTATGAGGTTCACTGAAGTCAAAACTCAGCCATAATAATAGTCGGGAGGATTTGACAATTGTATGTCACAAATGCCAATCACTCACCTTTTTCTCCCTTGGGTCCTTGCTGGCCTGGATAACCACGGTCACCTGTACCCATACACATCCAGTCGTTAGAGGTGACAATTCAGACCGTTAATAGTCATTTGGTGTCCCAACAGGACTTCCAGTGCTTCCCAATTATTTTCTGTTCTCCCGGAAAGACAGTTCATGCCCCCTCCACCGCAAACTCGTTTTTTGACCTGAGTCATTGAACCATTTGATTGTGATCATTTGGCTCTCTGTCTCCATCTCTCGCCACCTTTGTTTTCATTGAACTATTTTTCCATGGTGTCTCAGATTTGTTCACTGCACTTCATGGGTAGATTGGGAAATTCACTTCTTTCACGACGCAACACGAATGAGAGTGGGACTGTTTTGAGAGGCAGAGTGCGCTCCCCTTCCATGAATGATTTTTTTTTTTTTTGCTGCTGTTGTGAGTAGCGACACGACTGTAAAGATTAGCTACAGTAGCTCTTTCCATAACGCCACTAAACATCCACCAACGTCAGAAAAACGTAATAACTTGGCAACCCGAGTTGTGAACGCGTAAACAAAAATGATGAATGAGTTTGTTTAAATCCCCCGTCAGCCCACCACACCTGCATCTTGCTTGTTCAGTTTCCATTCATCCTGCCTGATGCTCTGATTTTTCCGAATGCTCCACAAATCTCCTGTTCCATGCTGTGTGGTGCATGCACAATGCGCGAAAGAAAAACAAAACCCTTCACTACAATGCTCCCTGCGCACACTCCAACAATGAACGCACTAATGCAACCTACTGTAGTGGATGTGTAATTACAATTTATTTTCATATGGCAAAAAGCCCGCAGCATTGCACCCCACTATTTGAGAAGGACCGCTATAGGCCATAATGATTTTCGGGGATGAGGAAGACCCTGAAAAAGGGGCAGTACTTTCAAGAAGTCCAGAAACGTGAGAGGCATTTTCTGTTTGGATGACAATATGCTGTAATTTACTGTATTTCAAACACTCTACTATAGCTTTTTTGGTACTGTTTTGATTAGACATTCTGGTCTTACGCGAAAAGTTAGGGACTCCCACAAAGAAAGAAAAGAAAAAAAACTACGACAAACGTGAACGGCGAACAAGGTGTGTTTTTGTTTTCTGCCTGAGTAAGACTGCAGAGAAAACTGGAAGCAGTAGTCTGAAGCACGAAAATTTAGGCCCAAGGCAAGGTTTTGAGTTCTAACTCATCGTTTCATGTTTTGTTGAATCACTGCAGTATAACTGCGCAGTGCACATTCATTGTGAACAAAAAGTTCACTTTTCCATGATGACATGTTTAATACATTTCTAATGTGCTTGTGGCTCAAGAAGCAGAGCTGGAGTTTTCCCAGCTGACTTTGGGGCCCAGGCCTGGTCAGCAGTCAATCCCAGAACATATTTAATCTTACTATATAAACTAAATTCTTAATGGTAACTACGGTGAAAGTAGTGCATCATTATTTTGGAATCAAATGTGTACCTCTGTCTCCTTTAGGGCCTGGAAATCCTATTTCCCCTTTTTGTCCTGGTGCTCCGACAATGGCACCGTGTACTGTAGGAGAAATGCGCAAGTGTAAGCTACCGCAAGTTTTGCGCTTGAATATCATTCAGCTCTTGCATTGAAGAAAAGCATTAATTTACCTCTGATGAATTCCACTAAATCAGTGACATTTTCTTGGGAGCCAAACACTCGGCTGTATCCGGGAGCTCCTGGAGGCCCGGGCAGTCCTGGTGGCCCTTGAGCAGTGCGGTCATAGCTGCTCCATCTACTGTCACCAATCAGACCGTGTGCTACAAAAACAGTTGATCGCCGTAGAAAATGTCAATGTTTGGCATCAATTGTTTTCACATCATTTGCCAATGGTCGCCATGGGATTTCTTACATTGGAGGTATTCCACAAGATGTGTGTAATTCCCACTGAAACCAAAGCCTTGACTGTGGCCCGGCGCACCTGGAGGACCAGGTGGGCCTTGAGGTCCTTGGAAGATGTGATTGCTGTAGTCCCTGATGATGTCGTGTAACACACCGTTAGCTGAAAGAGAGAGAAAGTGGTTTTGGTGTATCGTGAAGATCAAATTGTATCTAATAAAACTTGCTGAGGCTTGAAGTCTATGAGTACACCGGTGTACTTTATTACTTAGTTAGTCATGACTAGCATAAAATACACGTGGCCTGCTGTTTAATGTGTGCCACACACACGACCGCAGAAGGCTTGAACAAGGCATTGATCGGTCACAATCCACTTACATCTTATGTATTCCACCAGATCTGTTGCGTTCCCATGAGTGCCAAGCCAAAGCATGGACCCTGGGGGTCCAGGAGGCCCAGGTGGTCCTCTGACTCCCTGCCCAGCATGGCCATATTGATCTCTCCCAGAGTCATAGAGCAGACCTTGGGCTGTGGATTACATGTCCAGACGGTTTGACAAAGCACCCCTGAGTGGAATGCTGCGGTTCCCATCTTTTTCTAGACTACAACAGTATTTTATGTAAAACATCCTCAAGTTTGATGAAAATCCCAGCAGAAAGAGCGTTGTTATTTTGCATCAAAATTGGAGGTGGGGGGTTGGGGGGTCTGTTGACTCACATTTGAGGTACGCCACCACATCCACAACATTATCTTGAGAACTAAACCATTGGCTGTATCCAGGAGTTCCCGGAGGACCAGGAGGTCCAGGAGGACCTTGGCCAGCACCACCAGATTCCCTCACAACATCCCGGAGCAGGCCCTGGGCTGCATGCGGACAGAGTTGACGAGACCAATAGACATGAAAATAATTCCATTCCACTGTATCGTACATGACGTGATGTCGTTCTTGTTTGTCACCTACATTTGATATAATCTGTTACTCGGACAGCCATACTGGAGTAGTCTCCAGTGTCCAGGTTCCAGTTTCTACCACCAGATACGCCTGAATCTCCCTTTTCTCCCGGGGGTCCAGGAGGGCCGGGTGGACCAGGAATGCCAAACATACTTCCTCTTGTCCTGTCACCTTAGGTCAGTTCCCAAATTGTATAGCATTATTTACAAAGCCATGCTTCACAAAAAACAAAAAGGCTTGTACTCACTGCTGACATATTCCCGCCTATCTGCTCTGATCGTCTCACCGGTGACACCTTCAATGTAGGTAAGTTCGGTGCTGGTACCAGGTGGACCCATAGGTCCAGGGGGACCGGGTGGACCTGGAAGACCTTGACCGGCAATACCTTTTGGAAGCACAATGTTGGATGACACATGTCGGTGAAGTATTTATCTAAGTGAGTGATGCTGTTGTTTTTTTGTTTTTTTTTGTATTCTCACGCTCACTTTGCAAGTATTCACGAACATCTGAGCTCAAGTAGTTTCCACTTCCTGGTGCTCCAGGTGGTCCAGGTGGACCGGGTACACCGGGTGGCCCCTGGGGTCCAACAGCAGTATGATACTTAGCTGATTGGGCATTAAAAATAAATCTGTTAGTAGAAAAAAAGACCACGTGATGGAATAAATGTCAATCAATGTTTTGTCTTACATGAGAGGCCATATCCTTGTCCAGATACACCCACCATGCCCCTTTCTAATGGCAGAAATGAGTCACAGTTAGACAAAATGATGTTATCACGCCATAACTCTTAAATGTTAAACTAAGGAGGTGTTCTCAAATTCATTTGTGTTTTTATGTGATGACAGCTGACAAGATTTTGATTGTACCTTTCATCAGACTGAGGGCACGTTCAGCTACCTCCTCCATGTCAAATCTATAGCTTCCATGACCTGGTGCTCCAGGGGGCCCTGGTGGGCCAGGAGGACCAGCAACATACCTTCTCACGTCATCTCCTGCAACCAAACAATTATACGCATATGTTGCTGTCAAACATGCTTTTGAGGCATTTTTCACGATAGAACAGTTTCGTAAGACCTACGCTGTAAAATGGCGATGAGGTCATCGACAGAAAAGGAGCCGCTCTGAAGAGTCAGACCAAGAGAACTGGAGGTCCCACTATTTCCTCTGCCTTGACCTGGATCATTGAACACATATTAGTCCGAACATTTAACCCCGGTTCACATGGTCAGTATTGAAATGACTGCAATTAACACATGTGCTGTTGATAATGTCAACCACTTTGTTATCTTTAGTACAACAGTTATTCATCTTATGCGGAACCGAGTTACAGAACAACGAAGTGGACCTCTGCTATAGTATCTTCATTTGGTAGGTAGCGTTGCTCAGAACAGTGCTTGGCAATGAAGCAGAAGTTCAGAACATTCAGAGAGATATCATATTTTCACAACCACAAGGCGCACTTAAAAGTCTTACATTTTCTCTAAAATGGACGCGGCGTTTAATAATGTGGGTTGACTTGTGCATGCAGAAAGTTCCAAAATCTATGAATGCTGTTGTGCCACTTAAATGAGGGGTCTGCTTGACTGACTGATGTTGTGCCGACATACTGCTAATATTGTATAGAGGAAAGGCGGACGGAACTAAGGATGACTTCCGGACGTTAAAGTGGGAAGGGTGGGCGTGAAAGAGGACGCTAAAGGCACGCCGCCAGTATGTGTGGTATGTTCATTGGGCAAAACAACATCCCAAAAATGGCACTTATGAATAGACACGCTTACAAAGCACAGTGTAAACTGCAAGGTATCAGTTACGCGGAGGACCATGGGAATCAAGCAGCCAGGAGAGAATTCAAGTGCTTGGTGCTTTCATTTTATGAAATGGCGCCATCTATCCATCCAGGCAAGGACGACCGTGGCGCAGCAACAACCGGCGGATTACAAGGAAAAACTGGCCATCTTCCGCTCCTACTGAGGTCAAGAGTGTCATGTTATGCATTACATGAACTCATTCAGTACCAGCCAATTCTGGACCAAGTCTGAATAGACGTTTAAAAAGGTCTTTGGGAGTGAATGAGTTAAATAACAACGCTTTCTTGGAGATTATAATCCTTCATTGTGCTGCTCTGTCGGCCTCACTTGGCTTCAATTGCTAAGACTGAGAGGCAGCACCTGGCGAGTTACACCACAATTTGTGAATGTATTGTGGATGCTTGGGCTGTTGTTCGCATCGTTGTTCGAGCTTTCGCAAAAGCTCATTTCTGTGAAGCCACACGCAAACGAGACTGACTCTGATAAAGACGTGAGGGAACCGGGCGTGTTTGACGGAGAATTTGCCAAGCTGTTCATTTGGGATACAGAAGATGTGGACTTTGATGGATTTGTGGATGAGGATTAATTAAAAAAAAAAAAAGAGTACATTGTTAAATACTTCAATAAAGTAAAACCAAACTCAGTTTTGTTTGTGTAGCATGCATGCACACCAGTGCATGCTAGCGTATTTTTTAAGATAGCATGTTTTACCATGCTTGCATCCAATAATACAACGCGACTTGTGTAAGTGTTAAATACGGAAATAGCACCCATAACTGACACTACGCCTTATAATACGGTGCGCCGTATGGTTGTGAAAATACGGTATTCTTTCGCCTCAAATATAATATTTCAAGAAATAACAAGACAAGAGTGTTATCCGTACTCTGAATGTAGGCGATGACTCGGCTTGCGACATCATCCACCATCTCGGCACCTGAGGCCGCTGAGACCCCTGGAGGCCCTGGAGGCCCCGGAGGCCCCGTCAGGTACTGCTTCAAATTCCCAGCTATATGTCAAAACAGTTTGATGGGATTAGTCACTAAGCACAATGTAGTAATAGACAATGGACCATTGGAAACAAAAACATGTCCTCACTCTGGATGTACTCTGCAATGTACTGGCCCATTTCACTTGAACCTGATGCACTCCAACCTCTTCCAGGTGGACCTGGTGGTCCAGGAGGTCCGGGTAATCCTCGTCTTGATGTGCCCCCTTGTACAAACAAAGATTTTGCTAAAATGCAGAAAAATGCTCCCAGTATACCGCAGCTGTTCCTCAGCTCAGGTGCAGACATTTTTAGATGGGTACAAACTCCGACTCTTTATGGGAAGCCTGGCATTGTCCGACACCTTTTGCCACCATCAAACTCCTGGAAAACTTGTTCTGCTTGCCAAGAGTGCCAATCTTAAATTCAACACTTCACAACACAAGTGTGTTATTTTCATATTAATTGCTAGCTTATGGCAAGCCATTGGAGAATTTCTTCGACATCCCACTTGTGGGCTGAATTGTCCACATACTAGTACGACAGTTCAACACACGAGTATAATGTGTAATAATCAACATCATCAATCCTTACATGTGATTTAGTTGATGGCATGGTTATGAAAGGTTTTGATATGGATATGAACTGTGGTATACTTTACATACCAGTTATGTATTTGAATTATCTTACCGAGAGAGACTCCAGAGAATCCGGAATCACCTGTGAAAAATGCACAAATGTTTTCGTTTTGATGATCTCTTTGGTGTGCTTTGAACCCTTCATACAGTGTAGCAGCGGTTCGCAAGCTTTTTTACCCTGAGTACCACCTCAAAAAAATACTTGGCTCAGCAAGGACCACCAATAGTCCCAAAATTCAATTTCTATTTATTTTAAAATTAAATACAACAGAATTGTTGTTAACAAATGGACTGTTATTATTTCAGAAAAAAAGTTGTGACATGCGCAGTGTATTCAATTCAGTGATTTTTTTTTCGTATACCACAAGAGGGAGCCTGCATACCACAACTGGTACTCAGAGCTGAGTTCACTGCCAACATACAGTGCTCATGTCTCAAGTTAGCGAGTCAAAGCAAAAAAATGGCCCAACGATGGCTCATATCTTGGAAAAACTTGAAAGTCGATTCAGTCATATATCAAGGCACCACTGTACAAATCTGACTGCTATTACCTGGTTCTCCTGGAATTCCTGCCAAACCTGGCTGACCTGCTTCTCCTGTAACAAGTCAAATGGGATGCAAGCTGTATTATTTTAGCACATTTTAAAAGTTAACTCGTCATGTCGGTACAGTACGCGTGTTCATCGATTTCATACCTTGGTAACCTCGGAGTCCTCGCTCACCTAATCGTGATGGTGAGAAACAAGTTACATAGGAATCAAAGTATCCTCCTCAAATTAAACAGCCATTCATCCATTGCACATAGAGCTGTCATCCAGGAATAGTTCAATGCACAAACTTTGGAACAAATTTCAGATGACTCAAAAAGTATTTTTCCCCTCAGCATTACTGCTTGGTTTGGTGTCTAAAAATAAAAAAAGGCAACCAGAATGTACCATCACTGTTCCACTGGCTTTCCCAGCACAGTACTGTAATACATTACACAACAGCAATGGCAGGATGGAGCTAATTTCTGATGATGTCCGCTAATCGGTTGCCAGTGACTTTTCCTTTCCTTGTAAGAATCGAATTGAAACAGGAAGAACCCAAAATATGACAATTTAAAAATGACAATGAATTACATCAGGACACAGAACTGTTAACCTAACTGCAGCGCATGTTTGGATCATGGCTTAATTTAAAAATATAAGTGTACCCTGTGGGCCCTGGGGTCCAGGAGGTCCAGGTGGTCCTGGGGGTCCAGCAAAGAAGGTTCCTAAAACAAGAAAAAAAAAGTGTGTGTATGTGTGTGATTATTATTATTTTTAAAAAATAAAATAAAAAATTCTCCACCAACCTGATGAAGGGACAAAGTTGCCAGCATCTCCTTTTGGCCCTGCGGGTCCAGGTGCTCCAATACCTGTCAAACCCATTCCAGGTCAAGAACGAATCTAAAATTAAAAAAAGTCCACGTTTCCGTACCTGGCTCTCCAGGCGGACCTCTACGCCCAGGTAGACCTTGTCTTGACTCACCTACGGTGACAACAAAAAAGGAACCATCATCAATATATCTTCTACATCGCTTGCAAACACTCATCGCATCCTGTGAACGTAATAGAGCCTCCAAAGTCAGACCTTTTGACCGTGGTAGTGGAAAATAATGTAAAATGAATTACTTGGTCCCGACCTCATATAATTTTGAAAAAAAATATTTCAGTGATGATTTAAGAAAATTTGGAAGTAAAAAAGTTTCTATGGTATGGTGACGGAAAGTTTTATTTTACTGTCTTCTGTGCAATTACCAAATAAATTCAATTCAATCAATCAATCGATCAATCAATAAATCAACCAAACAATTAACACAAAGAAGTAAAAGCTTGACATGCAGAATGGAGAGGGAACAGCAAATTATGACTGGAATTTAAGAGTTTGTAGTGTATAATGCAGGAACAGTATATTTGCAGTGTGCGTAAATGCAAATATTTGCTTATCAGCAAAATCCTTTTCCTATATAATAGTAAGTTCTACAGAGTGGTGTCACAAAAATAGAAGAGCACTTCACTTGTAGTCCTTTAGATCAGGGGTGTCATTTTAGTCGCGATCCAATTTGGAGTTACGTCTTCCCTCGGAGGGTCGTTGTGACATTGAAACCACAAAACGATTACTTGTACACAACAAATGAATAGCTTACTAGTTTTGAAACCAGTCAAGTCAATTCTAATAGTTTGTTCAATTATTGTTCAAGTGAGTGGAAACCGGGTAACAAAATCATTGCAAAATCTCAACGTAATTGATTACACATGACAATTTGACAATTGCAGTCCAGATTTTAGCAAGTTGACACACGTGATTTGCTTTCGCGGGCCACATAAAATGATCTGGCGGGCCGGATGTGGCCCCCGGGCCTTAAGTTTGACACCTATGCTTTAGATGGTCATTGATTGAGTTGCTGAGGTTAAACATAAGTCCTGCACCATGATGGTTTGAAGTCCACATTTTGTTTCGTTTTTCAAGTTTTTGAAGCATATTTTTCACAAGGGCATCAGATCAGTGAGGTATTGGTAAATCTGTTTGGGGTTCGAATTTCAGCTCGGTGTGTGAGGTGGGTATGTTCTCGCCGTGTTTCCTTTCTGTCTTTCTTTCCATATCTCAAAAGCATGCCCCTTTAATTGAAGACCCCAAATTGTCCAAAAGTGCAAATTTATAACTGTGTTTGTGTTGCGGTTGAATGCCGACCAGTCAAGCGTTTAACACACATCTCCACCAAGGTTGTAATAGTTAACGAAAACTAACAAAATAACTAAAACTAAAATTAACCCCCCCAAAAAAACATGTAACAACAGGACCCATAGCAACAGAACCCCCACCCCCATAAAAAAAAAAAAACAAAAAAAAAACAGTGCTTTTGAAAAAGAATCACTGAAAGTAAAATTATCTACCTGTATGTATCTACCTATATACTATCGTGTACTGTAAATGTCCTTTGTTTTTGTCATTGAGCATTTTTGGGTTCATTTTAAAAGATATTTATTTTCGTTTGGTCATTGCACTTTAAGTTATTATAAAATACTTAGAGACTCGACAAATATGCCATATAAAAAAACCCCAATAAAATTAATACTAAGTTAGAAGTCATAAAAGATAAACTAAAACAAAGCATTTTCAAAAAATCAAAACTAATAAATCCGCTTAAAAAAATAATTATAACTAACCGAAGTTACAAAACAAAAGTCAAAATGAAATGAAAAACAACTCTGATGAAAAGTCCAAAATTATTATAATCTTGCACCTTGCCTGAAACCAGCCAGCTCACACATGATCCTAAAACCAGTAAACAGGAGGGATGGATGGATGGATGGATGGAAAATGGTTTTGCGGAACACCAAACTGTAAATACACTAATTGAGACACTCGACTTTTGAGGTTCTGGACCTACCAGGAGGACCTTGAAGACCTGGAGCTCCCGGTGGCCCTGGCGGTCCTGGAGGGCCCGTCACCCCAGCCGATGAAGACAGACCTGTTTGTAAAGTATCATGAAGCTCAGTTCTACAAATGTAACATTTTAATATTGATGAAGGCTTTGGGTGGTACTAGAACCAAGGAAACGGGTGCAGTACTTACTACCAGTTCGTGTTGAACTGACAGTTTCTGAACGTGTGACGCTGGTGCCAGCTTCTCCTCTCACACCTCTATCCCCTTTCTCTCCTCTGTCTCCTTTTAGACCTTAACGATTATATCATAGAACTCTTACAAGAATGAAAAGGGGATACTGCACAGAAATGACTCAATCTTGCCGTTCTCTGTCATCATTTCAAACCCCTTAGCATGCTTAATATTCCAAAGACGTATTGTGTTCTACCAGGGTTTCCAGTTGGACCGATGGGACCAGACAAACCAGGAACTCCAGCAGGACCCGGAGGTCCAGTCGGTCCTGGTGGTCCAGGGATGGCGACCGTGTCTGAGCCAGCTTGAAACCAATTCAGAGACAAACAATATTTACACTTTGAATTGCTTCCTCTTTCTGTTTGCGGCATCGTAAAGTCTTACCTGCAGAAATGACTTGACCAGCTGGACCCATTTCACCTGAATGAACGATTTTACATTTCTTTATCAAAAGCATGTGTACAATTATACACCGTATTTTTCGCACTATAAAGCGCACGTAAAAGCATTCAATTTTCTCGAAAGCCGACAGTGCGCATTATGCACCTGATAGAAAGAGCCTGTAACTCTCTTTATATACCCATTGAGTTGTTTCCCTGTTCGTGTTCCGATGCCATCTAGTGGTGATTATCAGCAGGAACCAATTGTAACCTAAAAGGGTACTGTACTGCCCCACACTAACTGACAAATGCCAAAACACACTCAAACAGAAAACTACTTTGTGAGCTCTGCACAGCCATTATGAAATGAAGATAATACCAAAGGCATAGTTAATTACTGGCTAAACAAAGGAAGACGGACATAAGCAAGACTTCTAAGGATATTTAGCCCGTTGCGGATGTGAGCCCAGGAGGTTTGTGTGTCTTTTTCTTGAATCAACTGTCTCCATCACTTTTGTCTTTCATTTTTTTTTTTGTCATGCCATTTCTATTTATATGTTTCATGTCCGTGGTTGTGACCAGTTCTCATTGTTACAGCTGCAGAGGTTGTGAAGGCTCTATATACATAAAACTGTATTGTATTGTATTTCCTTTAGTGTAGCACCATCTACTGGATGCATAGCGCAACCACAGCCACTATAGTAGCTTCTATTCTATGCGCCTTACTATGCAGTGTGCTCTATGTACGAAAACAGTTTTAAAATAAGCCATTCATTGAATGTGCACCTTGTAATCCAAGGAGCCTTATATTGCAGAAAATGCGTTAATTGGATATGAGAAAAAGAATGAACAACTTGCATTTATGAAGCCATTCTACCCTAAGTTTTGTAATGTTGCCTCGCTGACACAGTCACGCAATTACAATATAAACATTGTCCGTATTTTTTAATAGAAAGAAAAACACCCCTCAATCGCACTTTCATGATACGGGAGAGGGAGTGATTGCTTTTGTCTTTTACCTTTTGCACCAGGCTGTCCTGGGATTCCAGGAACACCTGCAGAAATGGATCGTTAGGAATTATTTCAAAAATTATATCCTTTGGAATTGTTCAGAGGCATTATAGATTCGTATTGGGATAGTTTTCACACCTGGTGGGCCTTGATTTCCTGGAGGACCTGAAAATTTTAAGTATTTTGTATTTGTCAAGGCAATGGAATAAAATTGCAAATGTGGGGCAAAAAGGAACAAGATGCGTTTATAATAGATTTGACAGTGTGGGCACCTGAAAGACCGTCATCTCCAGGAAGCCCAGCTGATCCCCTCGCCCCAGATGGTCCCATTGAACCTGCCTCGCCTGCAATTTATACACAGGCCGTTTAACCCTTTCAGGGACAGCGGTTACTACAGTGGACAGCTTATCAGGTTACAGGATGCATGAAAGGGTTAATAAAGGAAAATAGCACAGCGATAGTGGGGTTTTATTTTTTTTCCAGCAGCTTCTTGGTAAGTTTGGGAATGGAAAAATATCCATCCCTTTTCTGATCTGCTTTATCCTCACAAGGGTCGCGGGGGGTGCTGGAGCCTATCCCAGCGGTCTTCGGTCAGTAGGCGGGGGACACCCTGAACTGGTTGCCAGCCAATCGCAGGGCACACAGAGACAGGCAACCATCCGCGCTTACACTCACACCTAGGGACAATTTTTGAGTGTTCAATCAGCCTGCCATGCATGTTTTTGGAATGTGGGAGGAAATCGCAGTACTCGGAGAAAACCCACACAGGCCCGGGGAGAACATGCAAACTCCACACAGGAAAGCCGGGGCCAGGCCATCCACTCTTTCTTGAAACGTAAAATGTTGGTTAATTATTTTTATTTGAATGTCTGAATATATTACAGTTTGTCTGAATATATTATGTCAAGGCATTTTCCACGAGTTGCGCAATACTTTTGAAGATAATTTGGGTTTTTTTTTTTTTTTTGCTCACCTGCATTTCCCTTGGAGCCCTTTTGTCCCTCTCTTCCAGGTTCACCTTTAAAAACACATCAGTCAAACAAAAGTCCCTTTTTCTTGAGCCAAAAAAGTGTTGTTCCGTGTGATCATTGACATTAGCATAATCTCGAGTATCAAAAGATTTTAGTTCATGAATAAATTGCCATAAATTACCTTCCTTAGCCATGCAAACTGAGCGTAAAGGACATTAGAAGGTGTTCTTCATACTTTTGAAAAACAATCACTTGAGTAACACAAGTGTCCATGTGCTTGCAGTATATTCAGCTACCGAGGTTCTCAGAGACGTTCCGTACCTGCTGGGCCACGAGGTCCCCTCTCTCCCAAGGCCCCTTTGATTCCTGGCAAGCCCGGTGTTCCTAATGTGTCAGTTCACATCATACAAAGTTGTCTTTAGTTTAATACTACACTTGGCTCATCAAATATTGTTGACAGTAAACACAGATTCAGTAGGTTCATATACGAGTACCGAAAGGAATATGAATGCAATATAATTGCTTGGAGCAAACCTTTTTGTCCTGGATATCCATTGTCACCCTGGGAACCCTTTGGACCAAGAGCACCTGGAGACAATTATTATTCTGATGAATATTCGGTCGAAATCGCATATTCTATACAACTGAACTAAATGCAAACAATCAATAAACTATGACTCATGAACTGATCGAAGGCCTTCCTGCCCATTATTGCTGCTTCTGCACATAGTTCCTGTGAAGTCAAAATGATTGCTGAAGAACAAATGATGTGCTTCAACTTGGAAAGAAAGTGTTTACATTTCCATTACCGTACAATTTTTTTTCCATGATTAGTGAGTTAATGTATTACTTGAGGTCAATCACGGATATTTACAGTTCCGCTTACCTTTCAGCCCCATTTGTCCAGGAGCCCCAACTGGTCCCGGATCGCCATGAGATCCTGTCCAAATGGTTTTCAGTATTCAAGAGCGAACACCAAAACATTAGACAGGATGAAGATTCAGCCCTGTTTACCTTTCTCTCCTTTCTGTCCAAAACCAGGTAGTCCAGGCACTCCTGATGGCCCATCCAAACCCTTTGGACCTGGTAATCCCTGAAGACCTGGATCACCTATTCACACACAATATTTTATATACTTTCTAGGGAAACCAAATTGCTGGTCCCACTCAAAGTATGAACGGCATGTTGTAAATATCCTTTCACTCTGTAAACTTAAATACAGTCAAACCGTGTTACAACGTACCTTGACGGACATAATGAATCTTTCCGTTGTAACGGTAGTTTGTGAGATTTGCTTCCGTTTACCACACATTTTCAGACCATGTGCACAGGACTGTGCCGTGCCTCCGGACGTACAACAATGTATGACACGATCAGTGGTGTTGCTAAGCAACGGATGGGAACCCCGGCTGTACATTTTGTTCATAAGCGAGGTCGTGACGGCAGTTAGCTTCCCATGGTTCGTTGTATGAAGACCTTTTCATTATTTTGTGGCAAAAATCTGGTCGTTATAATGACGTTTACATTATAAAGGTGTTCGTTGTAAGCAAAATCGGCAAATGGAAAGTGAATAATGTGAAATTGGGAGTTTGAAATGCGTTATAATGTTATCGCGGTGAAAACGTCAACGGGGTGGGTTGAAACAAGGTTCGACTAGAAGGAAAATACATGCTGTGAATTTCGGATGCCAATTATGACACATCACATATGACCAAAATTACCTGTGCTTCCCTTTGGACCTCTGGGTCCTTCTGTTCCTGGGTTGCCCACCAGTCCAGGAGGACCTGAGAAATAACAGCGTGTTTACTGCATGCTCACCCATCATTCTATGAGGACTCCCTCAGCATGCTGATATTCTAACACGCGCGCTATGTGCCAAAAGACTGAAAGGGGTGTGACTAATTTATTCTGTGGTTTCATTTTAGGACGGAAGCCGTCCCCAAATCTTACCTGGTAGGCCAGGAAATCCAGCATCACCTACAAGAAATTAGACATTAATATATGTGGTTCTTTCAAAAACAGTCTTAACCACATAAATGTTTCAGACTGATTGGAGTTTCACCTTGAAGCCCAAGAACACCTGGATCACCTGTGGATGAACAATGTGACTCATGAGGCATACAAAAATAATTTTGTTCATATTTATTTTCTTCAGTAGACACACACCTTTCATCCCAGGGTCTCCTTTAGCTCCTTTCAATGAGTCTACAAATAGAGGACGTTTAATTCACATCAGACCACAGAGCATCATTACCTCTTTGTTGTAGCTGAGTATGTTTTTAATTATAATTTTCTGACCTCTAAAAGCATCAGAGCGTAGTTCACTTCTCACCAGCTGCTGGACAGTTCTCTGCAAGTCCCCCCCTGAACCTCTTGCAGTCCCTACACCAATTCCATTATCAGAGTGAGTCAGTGTGGAACCAGAATAACTCCTGTCCGTGTATTTGGAATCCAGCGGATCGGCAATGTTGATGCCAGAGAGACGACTAGTCCTCGATGACGCAGTGCCGGTGATGGCTTCCACAGCTTCAACTCGCTTCTTGAGCCGTTTCACTTCCTCACCTGGGAGGCCAGAGTCATAAATGAGACATGACTGGATTCTTTCTATGAAATCATCGGGGATGAAAAATAAGATGCAAGTCTTCTCTCACTCAAAGCGATGAGTCCAAAGAGGAGACCAAGAAGAAGGAGGAGGCTGAGTAGGAGGCCCAGCAGCCACTTCCACCAACTGCAGCGGCAGCAGCGGCTCAAGCCGAAGCATGAGCCGTCGTTGCACACATCTGATGAGTACAAATTCAAAGAAGCCCATTTTGTAAGTAATCAAAATATCATTATGGACGACTTTACTTCCAAAATATTTTTTCCAATCATCTTCTACAAAGTTTTCCAAACTTTGACTTGCCCTTTTCCGGATGAATTAGTTTGGTTTCATGTTTGCCAACAGTTCGAAGAGTGATAAGCCTCACTGTACTATAAGTGAAACTGGGTTCACATCAGCACACAAGCTGTGACCAAATTTGACAACCTGCACCTACATTTCTTCTTAGAAATATGTTTTCGCTTGTTAGTGAAAAAAGAAAGTTGTGTGTTTTATGATTGTCACGAGCCAGTTATCTTCTACATGGTAGCCAAGATACTCTATATCCAATTTGTTTTTCATTTGAAAGGACTCAAAACTAAGGATAATCAGTGCAGTGATCTGTAATGATATAGAAAAATAGCAAAGTAATTTACACATACATGTATATGAAATTTTAAACCAAAGTAGACTATTAAGTAACAGTGGGACAATTTACTTTACCTGCACAGCCAACTTTATCTTTTGAGCCATATTTCAGGAGTGCAGCTGTGGTAAATAAAACAATGAATTACTGTCAAGAAAAATAAATACATGGTCTCATGCCCTGCAATGCAAAGGCTTGATGTACCTTTAGCATCCCTTTCGTCATTCATTGTGCCCATTGAAAACTTGTGTTTCTCTCTCATCAGTGAGTCATCAGAGTAGGTAGCTGTAAGAGAACACAAAGTACTCATCATTCCAGATGTTGCTAAAATAATTGTATTTTATATTGGAGTTTGCCATCTACATATTTTCTTGTCTTGTACTGCTTGCAGTAAGTAAATCTCAAGTGGTACCAGCAGACATTGAAGAAGTTGCAGGAGCAGCAGACATGAATTGTTTGCCTGTGTCTTTGGTCATGACAAGTCGCTCTGTTTCCTTCTTGACAGGCGTATTGTCCTTTTCTATCATCGTAAACTTATAATCTTTGCCCAAAGGTTCATCAATAGAAGGACTGCTGGGGCGCACTGCATAAAAGAAGGATGCAAGTCAAATTTGCAGGATGTACATAGTCATTTAACACATCTCTAAGAAAAATACGATGACGACAAACCTGCTAAAATATAATAAAAAGAAAAGGCAATTCTAAAAACCCATCCACCATTTTCACAACTGCTTATCTTCATTGTTGTCGGAGGTGAACTGGAGCCTATCCCAGCTGACTTTGGACAAGAGCCAGGTTGCACTCTATTCCACAATATATATTCAGTTATTCTATTTTAAATAATTACAAAACACAACCATGACTGCTTTCCTTGTCTGGCTTTATTTTAAAATTACATTAAACATACCTGTATCAAATTAGAAATGCATCAATTTTAAATGACCCAATGTAAGCAAAAGCAAAGTAGCCTACATATTTTAAACAAATGTAGACATCAATCTAAGTGGCATAAAATATATTTGACAGAAATAAATTTTACATCTTTTAAAACCCTAGTAGGAAAAAAAAAAAGAAATAAAAAGGTAAGCTCTACTGTATTGTAATTTTGAGACTAATGTGCATATCTCACAAGTCAAAATCAGGACTGCATCGTGAAAACAGATCACATTGGTAATATTGTATACATTCAATATCAATCCATTTTCTGAATTGCTTATCCTCAGTTTGAATAAACGTTTAATCTTGGCCACTCCTCCCGGCTGATTTATCGGACGCTTTACGATCCTTTCCTGTTTAGCAGTGTGTGTAGCATTATTTTGTATAATTTTGTCTACAGACACCTATTAAATTATCAGCAATGTTGCTGTTAAAAGATGGATATGTTCATCTTTCGCGCAGTACCAGCGAGATTTGTGTGAATTTTACTGAATCACACACGCACATTAATTTCGGTGTTTCACGACAATATCAGGTTATCTTAGTGATTAGCATGTTTTTCCCTCTGTTAATTGCCCCACGTAATTCCTTCGTGAGAACGATACTTGTTCGAAGTGTGGGCTATTTGCCACCATGGAGACTGTGATGACTGACTTGGAAGCAAAACCACAACGTGTTGTTTAGCCACAATAAGTTTCAGCCAAGGCTCGTTGCAAGATAGCTGCTGCAACATGAGCAGCGCCGAGCTCGCACCGACTTGCTGACCACCGCGTCACAACGAAGCTTTTCGCAACGGTGTCTGCCGTTCAATTATCGGAAAACTCAAAAAATATGTCAATCTAAATGTAGCTATTCCTTGTGTTTTAATTAGGCTAAAGTTGCAAACTGCTGCGCAAGCCTTGTGTAGTTGAAATGAGTACCCATTGTGCCTCTACTCTTGGTGCCCTATTTTTTTGTAAATAGTTGTTAATAGTTACGGGTTTATTGTTACTAGCTCATTTCTTCCCAAAGTAGGACAAATCGTTATTTGCGTTTCACTCACCTTATTATTTATTTATTTTCGTTGGGTTTTAGATTTAATTGTTTCGGTTTATTTAGGGACAGTGTCATGATTCTGGTTTTGTGTGTCACCAGCAGGTGGCAGAGGAGGGCCTTCCCTTCTGTATGTGCGCCTGCCTCCCATCTCAATTAGCCATGCATTTAAGGACTGTCAAACTGTCGAGCCTTCGTCGGATTATTCTTCATCTTGCTCATGACTTTGTCTACAAATGATGAATTCTCTAGATGTTCTTTCTAATTCATGCCATGTAGCTTCTTGCCTCGTTTTTTTGCATTTTGATCGTAAGTATTTGTTGTGTAAATATCTTCTCGGTTTTGTGTCTGTCGTGGTTTGGCTTATTTCTTGTATTTTTACAACAAGCTATTTACATTATACTTCCCTTGCCTTTTGCAAGCGTTTTTGGTTTGACTTGTTTTTCCTGTTGTTTGTGTCAATGTCGTATGTTTATTCGGTCTTGCTTATTTTGTGCAATACATACATGGCAATTTTCCGCGGATCCGCGGAAATCCGCCGTTTTATTTCTTAAATTGATTATTTTTGTGAATCGTCTAAATCCGTTGAGAAAATTTTACGGGCGGTCAGATACCTTATCGTCGAGTTTTCACGAGCTCTCCCGAACAGTCTCTCTGTTTTCCGTTTGTAAACAGCCCTGCGATTGGACGTGTATGAAAGCTTCAACTAATCAGATCACTGAAGGCATTATTTGTTGCGGGAGTCTTAGCTCGATTATAT